TCTCATCAACCCATTTGAGTATGTTCTATATTCTATATTTGGAGATAAACAAAGTTGCCTAAGTTAAAATTTTGTGTAAAAACATGGATGGGATCAATTTTTTTATCAGGGCTCAGGGATCAAAATAACGGCAAGAAAATAGGGATTAAAGGGGCCCAGATATACCATGTTACGACCCTGTTTTAAGGTTGTATTCAATCGTTCATGTTGCCATCGAAGCAATGATGACGTCACATTTTACCTGTCAATCAAAATCTTTCAACAGTATGTTTTTCACTTGCCAAGTTTCAGCTTGTGAGCTGCAACTTTTCTCTTTCCATAATTTGTGATGACATATACTCACAAACTGCTTAAACGGTGTTCAGCCACCTTAAGTTTTACATTAGTGGGCTGTTGGCAATATCTGGATTTAATTTATGTTGCTGCGGATCAGGTGGAAGCTGAGGAAGTCATAGATAGTCAGGAAGCACTGCCCTTACCAAACCATATGTATTTTGAAACTGATTTTAAAGTGTTTAAAATGTATTTTCAGTATTTGAATACTATTTTCCTGTATTTTAATCCTATTTGACAAAAAACTTTAAATTTTCGCCCCTGTTTGGAATATATCTTAAGTGTAGTTAAATTATATTTCATCAAAAGGAAAACCTCTCTCATCAATTTACAATGTATTTTGTTTAATAAATATGATTAAAATAGGGTATTTCAAATGTATTTTGAGCATAGAACCACTAACACTGTTACAAACAGAGTTCAAATAGACTATTTGACATATGTTTTAAGGGCTTAAATGCGACTGTTTTTTAAATACTTTTAAATAGGGTGCTTTAACACTGTTTTGAGTTGCATCTACAATGTATTTTGAGGCGCATCCACTCACAAAGTTACAAACATAATTCAAATAGACTATTTAAAATATGTTTTGAGAGCCTAAATGCTGACCGTATCTTAAATACTTTTAAATAGGGTACTTTAACACTGTTTTGAGTTGTATCGAAAATGTATTTTGAGACGCATCCACTCACAAAATTACAAACAGAGTTCAAATAGACTATTTGAAATATGTTTTAAGTCCTTAACTACTGACCGCATTTCAAATACTTTTAAATAGGGTACTTAAACACTGTTTTGAGGTCTATTTGAATTGTATTTTGGGCACACAACACTCTGACTATAAAAACAGATTGTACATAAAATATTTAAAGTCTGCTGAAAGACATCAAATGCTGACCTTATTTTAAATACTTTAAAATAGGGTACTTATTACTTATTATTATTGAGGTGCAATATTGTAATGTATTTTGGGATACTTATACTCAGACTATAAAAGTAACAATTGCACAAAGTTAATTTTTAAGCCTTCATCGTGTCACGAACTCATAAATGACTCAAAACAAGCTGTCATATTGTGGACCGGATTCTTCTCTCAATAAAGCTCGAGGCGGAGCCAAAAATTAAATCTCCCAGCAAATCAAAAAGAAATTGAAAAAAGAGAAGAAAATTAGGAATAGATTTTAGCTTTGACTGACAACACGTAACTGTGACAGTGTGCCGATAAAGGATCAATCCGTTCCTCAATGTTCATTACCTGCAAGCTCTCTGCGAAAATCTCCGCCTAGATTTTAGCCGTGATTCAATTAATGCAGCTACGGGACATTCCATAAGTTTTTTTAAAAGAAAATTCTTAAAATCACATTTTAATTTTCATCTAGAAATTTTTCGCAAACGGCCGAAGCCGCGGGCCGAGAACCGGATGCACGCGGTCAATTGAGATTTGTCTAAAATAAGTCCTTGAAATTTCATAATAATTAAAACAAACTATCCAAGCTAAGATCTCACCTCGTATATATTGCACTAAGAAACAACGCTCAGATCTGAATAAACTCCGACATATGGTTATCTTTCTCTCATAGACTATTCCGCACATGCATGGCATATTATTTTTGAGATGTCACGCGCGACTGAAATCACGACTTCGCGCCGCGGTGATGTGACAAATGCACGTGATAAGCAAACCGTCCTTTGTCCTTTGCTCATTTCAAATTATTGAACCGGCGGTTGCTCCCGGGCGGTTGCTGTGAGCTTAAATGCGATTGATTTTACTGTTTGTTACGATCTTACAAAAGTACACTCCAACTCTGCGGATTGTCGGAACACGTAGATGTTGCTTTTATCACGAATCAAAAATGGTTATGACTCCTCAGCGACTGTTATGTACTTTGAAAGGTTCTGGTTCAGGAGAAGAGTCCAAGAGTCTAATTGTAAGTATTAAGTATACAATGTTACTAAGACGCTTAGATATACGCCATATGAGAAACAAATGAAGGGTAGTAAACATTTATATAGTCGCGCCCGTACGGCAATTTTACTTTTTACAGGATTCCTTGCAGAGACTCGCTGTTTTGTATAAATGATCTCAGTCACTTGATGTCACGTCACCGGCCTCTTTCATTCTCGCGTAAATTTATTCGTAGGCTGTTCTTTATCAGCCACTAATTAATGTTCAGGCGTAGCCTGCATTAAGCTTCTGATGATATTTGAGTAAAGCCGTGAATATAATAAACAATGTAAGTTACATGCATGTAGATTAATATTTACCGGTAACGTCAGTAACGTTATACCCTTTTGAAGCTAAGGTTAATAGCCTGTGTACATACCCCCCCTCCCCTCCGAGTTTTATTGGGGGAAGGGGTCTGTACACAGGCTAAAGATTGATTTGAGCATTTCTGAAAAATTCCATAAGAATTTCCCGAGAATTCTTAGGGAAATCAACGTAAAGTAATCGGCTAAGAGATAATTCTCTCGAAGTCCTAGCCTGGGACTGTGTGGCGAAATTTCGCCGAGGTAAATCTTGCTTTTTCAGGGTAATTTTCGACGGTTTTGTATTCATTTTATTTCATGAATTTAAATGGTATTTCCATCCTGTTTTTGTACTATTTTAATGCTCTTTCGACCGATTTTTATACTGTTTTCAGACAACTCTAAGGCTATGTTCTTACAATTTTATACTGTTTTTGCATTTTTGCATCCTATTTTTGATGTATTTAATTCATAATATATGTGTGCTATTGCTTTTCTTCTTCTGTGGTATTTTAATACTGTTTTCAAAGTATTTTTATTGTATTTGCAAATACGAGTATTTTACTAAATTTCGAAACCGATTAAACAGCTATTAAAATATATTTTGAAGCATAACATTTTAATAGCGTTTTAAACAGGTTAAAACACCTTTAAAATCAGTCGAAAAATATATCAAAAATATATTTTTGTACCTATTTTAAACCGGTTTTTTTCAAAATACGTTTAAAATTGCCATTAAAAATAGTTTTAAAATAGTATAATAAATTAAAATATGTTTTTGAAACTGTTTTTATCCTGTTTTTATTCCGATTTATAAGGTATTTAAAAACTGTTTTTGACCTGTTTTGAGCCTTGCAAAAGCCCTGGGATTTTTTATATATTTTAAAAGCATTTTAAAATACTTTAAAAATTCTTTTTTAATAGCGTTTTAAACAGGTTAAAACACCTTTAAAAGCAGTCGAAAAATACATTAAAAATACACTTTTTACCCTATTTAAAACCTATTTCACAAAACAGGTTAAAAACAGTTTTCAAAAATAGCTTAAAAATACATTCAAAACAGTGTTGGATTTGGTAAGGGTGTCACGCAGGGCGCTCATTTTTCATTTTCGCTAAACATTTTGAGTAGAAGCAGGCAACATGCCTTAAAATCTTCATCTTGCCATCCTGATTAAGAATTGCGCTGTTGCTCACTGCAAATGTTATGATATCTGTCATTAAGCGGGTTTTTTGTCTAGGCCCTCGCTCCCGCAGCATGAAAACGAGGCTGAACTGTAACATTTATATAAACCCAATAAAAAGTGCACAATACGATGGGGAAATAGCTGAATCTTTGTTACTTGATATTTAGAGCTCGATAGACAGTAGTGTGGGAGATAAAATGCGTCACGTGATCAGTCATGAAGAGTCACGTGACTTTCCAATAAAATCGATTCTAAAGACGCTCTATTCACACTTTCCTTTAATATAGTTTTCAACTTACTGACGTTTCTCATTTCGATTTACAGATCCAACAATAAAAACACAAAAGTGCAATAGGTGATCAGCTATGATGGTTCACGTGACTAGATAGCAACCATCGAATAGATACTGAATTAGCCTTAGCTGTGTGAATAGCGTGATTGATTAATTGTTTCAGTAAGCTCTCCAGGAATTATTTTCTATTAGAAATGAAAATAAAACTATGTTTCATGGGGTAAATATGAGCTTCAATCTGTCGGAAACATTGGTCACTAAGTTTACGACTGGGAACGACGATGATGCATTAGTAGATGCCCTGACTAGCAATGAGCTTGTTAATGAAGTTGGACAAGCTGCACATATCATCAAAGCTTTTGATGCCGCACATCATGACAACCCTCGTTCTGTTACTGGAGGCAATACATGAAACTGGTGTCCATCTTACTGAGGTTTACGCGTGCGATCGGGGAAGGGAAGTGGGATCTGTCTTTACTGCGCGCAATGTTTTGCTGTGTCCGAGCCTGTAGGGTGTTTATCTGGCTCAATCAAGTAGTTGATCTCTCTTCGTTTTCCGAAATGCTACCCTATTTTGCAGCTTTCGACCACTCGAATTACACCAGATTGGGGGTCATATTTATTGCAGACATGAAGATGCTTTCGCACTGACTGCCCCTGAGGTCTAGCCTCCCCTGCAGACATTCTTAGGCGTGCGTCACGGAAGGAACGCGTGACGCACGCCTAAGAATGTCTGCGGGGGAGGCTATACAAGGGTTGACCTGCTATTTGACAGATATGTCAAGAACTCGATAAAAGGAGGAACCAGAGACAAGCGCAAGGAGAAAAAGAGTACAGGAATTAGGCGCAATGTGGATAACAGAGATTAGAGAATTGGAAACTGGGAGAGGTTCATCATTCTAGAAGATAACAAGGCTAGCCTACCTCATTTCCTCTCGACTGACATCTCGGAGAGTTACAGCGCGCCTCCTGGGCGAGAGCTGGTGATCAATGGAGGCTTCAAGGATACACTGAAGGTGTGGTCATCTGACACATCACGACAAGATATAAGAGAGCTCGCATCAGATCATGAGGAGGCAGATACTAGAATAGTACTGCATGCCCGAGACGTAGCAGCAAGAGGGTACAAGCAAGTCAACATTTTGTGTCGTGATACGGACGTTCTTGTCCTCCTTTTGGCACACCGAGAGCAGCTTTGTCAAGAGATATGGATGTTTGCGGGTACATCAAGACAAAGGCGTTACATACCAGTTCACAGAATCCCGCTCTCCGAGGAGAAGAGGAAGTCGCCTCTGGCATTTCATGCCATTACTGGCTGTGGTACGACAAGCCAGTTCTATGGTGTGGGCAAGGCTTCGGCATGGAAAGTCTTCGAAGATGCACCTAACCTCTTGGAACACCTTGGAGAAGAAAGCCAAATCAGTGCTGCCGTTCTTGCCAAAGCTGAAGCCTTTGTATGCAAACTCTACAATCCGGGAACACAAAAGGTGGAAATCAACAAAGAAAGAGCAGCAGCGTTTCGCAAATCCAAGAAAGATCTCGACGCCCTACCTTCGACTCAAGATGCACTGATTCTCCACACAAAGCGGGCAAACTATTAGACCATGGTATGGGAATAAAACGCTGGAACCATGTCCTTCTCTCCCAAAGCCTGAAGACAGCGGATGGTACTACAGTGAAGGCCTTCTGAAGCCAAAGTTAATGACACGAGAAGAAGTGTCAGCGGCGTGTTTACAGTTAGCATACTGTGGGTGCTCCCGAGAAGGCGGATGCTGTGTAAACCGACGCTGCACTTGCGTTAAACTATCTCTTTGCTGTTCCAAGGCATGTAAATGTGGCGACAGATGCAGAAACGACAGGAACACTGCAGCAGAGGCGAATGAAGCATGACCTATAACTTTGATAAGGTGGAAGGCACATGGTGGTCTTGTGTAATATAAGATACTTTGCTTATGGTTTATAAGCTTGTATTTCTGGCTTAAACCGTGCGGCCAAGTAGAAGAAAGTTCAGTCTTTTTACATGAAAAACCATAACTCATGGGAAATGTTACATAGGTTGGAAACGCTATAGAATGACTGAAAATAGAATGATTTCATTACATCACGTGACCCATCATAGCTGATCACCTATCGCATTTTTGTGTTTTTATTGTTGGATCTGTAAATCGAAAAAAAGAAACGTCAGTAAGTTGAAAACTATATTAAAGGAAAGTGTGAATAGAGCGTCTTTTATGCTTTATAATCGATTTTATTGGAAAGTCACGAGTAGTATAAGGGCGCATGTGGATGAACAAAAGTGAGGGGACATCGGGGACATCGGGGATACTGCAAAAAACCAGTATCACCAGCAGTCAGTCAAGTCAATCTGGTCTTTGTTCTGTAACCATTTTTGTATTGTCAAGGTTAATGTCAAGAGTTAATTCTATCGAGTGAATTTCCAAAACCTAACGAAATGTCCTAGCCCCAACTAAATGTCCTAGCCCTAACTAAATTTGCTAAACCTAACTAAAATCTGTTGGGCGCAGTGTTTAGACCTAAATCAGTTGGGTGCAGTGTTTAGAGCTAAATCAGTTGGGCGCAGTGTTTAATCTGTTGACGTATTGTCATTTTCCAAAACCTAACTAAATGTCCTAGCCCTTTCTAAATGTCCTAAACCTAACTAAAAATCAGTTGGGCGCAGTGTTTAATCTGTTGACGTAGTATAAATTTCCAAAACCGAACTAAATGTCCTAAACCTAACTAAAATCGTTTACTTTTTCTGTTTTAGACCTAAATCTGCTGGGTTCAGTGTTTAGAGCTAAATCAGCTGGATGCAATGTTTAGGATTAAAACTTTCCCTTACTCTAAAATCTTACCCTAACACAAACTCACAGCTGAGTGATTACAGGCAAGTTTGAACAAGCCCATTGACGTCACCTTTTGTTTTGTTGAGTCAGCAGAAATTGATACTATTTTTGGAACAGAGGGCTAGCGGGGGATATAAAAGCGGGACAGCAACACATACAGATCATTTGATTACAATTCGTTGAACTGTGCAAACCTCTCATCATGGCAATTACTTACCCACGTCCTTGTCCTATCTGTGGAACCAAAATTAAGAATCGAGGAAATTTCTTCCGTCACAAAAAGTATTGCGGTACTAATACAAGAGTACCATGCCTACATTGCGAAAAAAACGTTTTGTCGTAAAGACAAAATGGTGGCTCACGTCAAAAAATACCATTCTGAAACAGCAAAACGAAAAGCAGAGGAGTCTGCCGAACTAACAAGGCTGGAATTATTGCATGCCAGCAAAGTACCTAGACTGGGTAATGAGGAACAGACTGGCGGAGCAGTGAGCACCCGTGGAACCAAGCGTTCAGCTGAAGATTCCAATCCTGATGTGAAAGTTACAAAGATGGATTCCCAGGGCAATGAAGCCAAGACTGATGGCGGTACGGGTCCGTTGTTTCAAGCCAACATTGCCAAAATGGGGACACCTAAAAAATGGAAAAAAGGCAAAGTCATTGACCAGAAATTTACGTTTACATTGGATTACCTACGCGACCCAAAACCAGACCAAGATTTAGGGGTAGAAGCAGTTTATGCGTTGACCGAAGGAATGGATGCTATGATGGAAGACATGGAGATTGACCTAAAGAACTATGACCTGGCACTTCAAATTGAAAGCAAGGAACATTTCAAAGAGTCCAGCAATACCGGTGAAACATGGCATATCCCTGCCGATGATTACTTTCACCGTTTGCAAATGACGCAGTCGATGTTAGGCCATATTGCGAGGGTCTTGAATTCGGGGGAATTTATTTCGTCCGACAGAGGCTTTTCAGCCTCCATGACTCTTTTACGTCGTGACGTGAAAGGAGGAAAACGATCAGGATACAAACCCGGTGAGCGTATTTGGGAAGAAGTGGTCAAAGAATTGCGCTGTGTCCATGAAATCAAAAACAAGGATGAATTGTGCTGTGGCCGTGCTATAGTCGTCATGCGAGAACATGCCAAGAAAAAAGCAGGTGAAAAGAACTGTTACGAAAATATTCGCCAAGATCGAGGCAAGAACAGCCAGCAACTGAAAGAAGTCAAACAGTTATACACAGCGGCAGGTGTTCCAGAAGGATCATGTGGGTACGAAGAAATTCAAAAATTTCAAGACTATTTGGGTCCTATGGGTTACCAGCTGATTGTCGTTGACCCAGTACGTGGTGGTGTCATATTTACTGGAGAACAATACAAGTCTGCGCCTAAAGTGATTCAGATTGTAAAAACCTATTATGAGGACAGTGATGGAGAAACCAAAGCCCATTACGATGGCGTGTACAGTATTGCAGCTGTGATGAACCGTAGCAAGTTTTGTCGTTATTGTTGCAAGGGTTACAATACAGAAGACGCAAAGCACCATAATTGTTTGCATGCCAATTGCCCTAGCTGTATGCGTCGTAGGAACAAGACATCAAAGGGGTGTCCTGACTACACCGGTTGGAGTAAACCAACCATCACCTGTCGCAAATGTTGCAGATCATTTTATGGGGAAGATTGCTACCGGGACCATTTGGTTCAAAAGAAACAAGAAGAAAGCAAGATGGAAAAAGACTTAATAAAAGAAGTAGCGTTGGATAATGATCTGACGATTCCACCCCAGAAACCGTTGAAAAGTGTTTGCGAGATGCATCGTAAATGTAACACCTGTTTGGTTTCTTACAAAGTGAAAGAAGGAATGACTCATAAATGTGGTCATGGACAATGTTCTAATTGCTTAAACTATGTGGATCTGTATAACCACCGATGTTTTATTATGAGTGACATCTACAAGGCAACAAACAAAAAGTAGAAGAAAAGATTCTGGAAGCCATCAAAGAAATGACGACTGAAGACGGGGAAAAAGTGAAAGACGTTGCAAAAAACCCTATTACGAGGAAAGAACAGGAAGAGGCCTATCTAAAAGAACACCCACCAACACAACCAGTAGATGAAAAAAGTAGACACGAGTCCATCGAGAGAGTTAAGAAACAATTACAAGATTTGGGCGTGGATGTGACAGAGATTCCCGAGGATCAATTAGAAGAGTTCCAAGGAGATCATTACATGCTGACAGAAGGGAAGAAAGACAAGCACAGAGAGTTAGTGTTTGCAGACATCGAGTGCAGTATTGACAACAACAGACGATTTACCCCGAATCTCATCTGCTTTGAACGTGAAACGTCAGGCAAGAAATACCACTGTTGGGGTAGGACATGTCTACGTGACTTTCATAACAAGCTAATGACTGCGCTACAAGAAATAGAAAAAGAAAACAATTTGCGATGGAATCAAGTAGAAATGCAAGTATACTTCCATAATTTCCGTGGATTTGATGGCATGTTTATCATCAAACAGCTGTATGACATGAATATCAAGGTGTCTAAAGTTCTGATGACTGGTCAGAAGATTTTGTACTTTGAATGTAACAGACTGAAGTTTAAGGACTCTATGTCTTTTCTAAATATGCCGTTGGAAAGTTTCACCAAGACGTTTGGTTTGACGGAACTGAAGAAGGGGTACTTTCCTCATTCATTTAACAGAAAAGAAAACCAGAATTACGAGGGCCTGATTCCTGACCTGAAGTATTATGAGACTAATTGCATGAACACGAAGAAAAAAGAAGCTGTAGAAAAATGGCATGGCGAAGAAGTATTGAAAGGAGAAAGTTGGAACTTTAAAAAGGAATTGTTGGAGTACTGTGAAAGTGATGTCAAGTTATTAAAGGAAGGTTGTCTAGCCTTTGCAGCTGATTTTGAAAAAGAATGCAAGTTTAATCCATTGAAAGAAAACATTACCATTGCCAGTGCCTGCCACAACTTTTGGCGGAATAACCAAATGATTCCTTACTCCATTGCTGTCGAACCACCCCATGGATGGAGTGGAATAAAGCCAGCACAGAGCAAGATTGGATTTCAGTGGTTGCATATCCAAGATCAAAAGCTGGGCGGCAACAGAATCAAACATGCAGCGAATGGCGGGGAACAAACTCTCATGATAGAATCGTGGGGAAAAGTACGTGTAGATGGCTATGATCCCCTCAAGAAAACAGTCTACGAATTTCAAGGCTGCGAGTTTCATGGCTGTCCTAAATGCAAGAAACAAAGACATGTTAAAACTTGGCACCATCCAGACCGTACGGTGGATGAAATGTTGGAATTAACAAAAAAGAAGACAGACGTGTTACGGAAAGCAGGTTACACCGTAAAAGTGGAATGGGAATGTAACTTCAAACAAAAACTTGCAGCTGATCCAGAGTTACAAGACATGATCAAAGATGTGGAATGGACGGCTCCTTTAAACCCAAAAGAAGCCTTGTTTGGTGGACGTACTGGATTAAGTTGTTGTTATCACAAAAAAGTCCCTGACGAAAGAATTGACTATGTGGATTACACATCATTGTACCCGTGGGTCAACAAATATGGAACGTATCCCATTGGACACCCGACCATCATGAAAAATCCATCTGATCAGAACATTGACAATTACTTTGGTATCGCTAAAGTAGATGTGTTGGCTCCAGAGAAATTGTTTCACCCCGTATTGCCTATGAAAATTGGTGACAAATGTATGTTTACTCTGTGTGCTACCTGTGCCCAAGAACAGCTAGAAAAACCATGGCATGAAAGAAGTAATCTTTGCAAACATACAGACCAAGAACGTCAAATGACGGGTACTTGGTGTACAGAGGAACTGAAAACAGCGGTTGAAAGGGGATACGAAATACTAAAAATTCATGAGGCGTGGCACTGGGGAGAGAACCAGAGAAAAAGAGGGTTATTTGCACCCTACGTCAACAAGTTTTTGAAGGCCAAACAGGAAGCCAGTGGCTGGCCGTCAGACGTAGAAACAGACGAACAAAAAGCCAAGTACGTCAGTGAGTATGAAATGCATGAAGGCATTCAATTGGAACAAGACAAAATTGAGATCAATCCAGGCCGGAAAGCAGTGGCTAAAGTGATGTTGAACAGCTTTTGGGGGAAATTTGGAGAAGCTGACAACAAGCCAACTACCAGTACATTGCAGAAAGTAGAAGATTGGGAAAAACTAATAAATGATGATACGGTGATTGTAAAAAGTGTCAATGTTTACAGCGAAGAAGTGTTGGAGGTCACAACAGTCAAAAAAGAAGGCGCTTGTGCCCCGAATGTGAAAGGCAATATTTTTATCGCTTTGTTCACAACAGCTATAGCACGCCTCAAGCTATATGAAGCTTTGGATGAATTGAAAGAAAGAGTCCTGTATTATGACACAGACTCTGTCATCTACAAGAGCAAACCTGAAGATGAGACATTACCACTGGGTAAATTTTTGGGGGATTTTACAGATGAGACCGGTGGAGATACCATAGAAGAGTTCGGATCAGCAGGCCCAAAATCCTACAGTTACAAAACAAGCGGTGGAAAAACAGAATGCAAAAGCAAGGGGTTAAAAAACACTCACGCTGTCAGAGAAGTGTTGAATTGTGAGGCAATGTTGAAGCACATTCAGCTAGAACTGAAAGACCCAGAAGAACGCAAGCGTCAGTTAAAAACCACAATTTTTAATCATTTTGTCAGGAATAGTAAAGTCAAAAGCATTTATTTGGAGGATATGGTCAAGATATTCCAAGTCAATTGGGACAAGCGTGTGGTAGAAAAGACCACAGGACTGACATACCCCTATGGTTATGTGAGATTGGAATTTTTGTAAAAGTTTTATACATTTTTGAGAACAAAGTTTGCTTGGTAGCGTGAGTTTTCTTAGTGTTTTATACAAAGTTTTGTTGTCAGAGCAAAGTTTGCTTGGTAGCGCGAGCTCTGGTTAATTTTTGGAAATGTTTAGTTTTTCACTAGTTCGTTGTAAAATAGAGGTAAGGTTACAATAAAGTGTGTTACAAAAAAAGACATGTGTGGGGTTATTTGGGTAAAAATTTCCCAATCCTTCAACCAAAGAGAAAATTCCCAAACCTTCAACCAAAGAGAAAATTTCCCAAACCTAAAACCAAAGAGAAAATTTCCAAACCTTAAAGGCGAAAAACGAAAATCCATCAAGGCAATGTCTAGGGTTAATTCAGTGGGGCACTGTTTTTAGGCTTAAATCAGTATGGTATTTCAAAAATCAAAATTACCCTAACCCCTAACCCTAACCCTAAACCCTAACCCTAACCCTAACCCAAACCCTAACCCTAATCCCAAAAGACTAGGGTTTAACCCTAACCCTAACCCTAACCCTAATCCCAAGAGGCTAGGGCTTATTAGCATTTTAACCCTAACCCTAATCCCAAAGGACTAGGGCTTATTAACATTTTAACCCTAACTAGGAGAAGGACTGGTACGAGTGTAGATAAATTGTGATGACTCACTTTATTCCAACCATAAAACAAGTGTGAATGTGAGTGTGTATATGTGTGGAGGAAAAATGCAGTCGGTATCTATGCAAGATTTGGAGCAGTTATCTTGTTGGCAAGAAAAACGTTTTAAAAGTGGACATTGGTATAATCTGTACAACCCAGTGCTTTCAGTGGAGTTAACAGAATTTGCAGACAGAGTGGTGAGAAATAACGACGCTGTGCAAGAAATTCAATTGGATCTCACAGTGCACCAACACAGAGTACCAGAAAACAATGAAAACCTGTTGATGTCAATGAGCGATGGTTTATTACGAGCAGTTCAACATTGGATTAGAAACCGACGTTTATCCATGAAAACAAGATGTTATTTGACCCTTCAAACTGTGGAACCGTTCGCTCTCCCAATCACAAAATGTTTAGGGGTGCTGACAAATATTCCAGTCTTTGCCTTCTTTCCATGGACTGTGTCATTATCACGCACTATGTTAGCGATGCTCGATTGGCTGAGTTATAACTGGTTACTTGCCAAGCTTCTTTCATCAAGAAATGACATGAAATTGGTAATCACAGTGATTCACGAAGGACATGCATGAACATGTTAAATCTCAAGAGACATTCATGCTCAAACTTGCCCGATGACGTCATTGCCCTAGGGACCTTTGGTTGTGTATATCAGTGAGCGAAAGATGTTAAAACTTTTATAATTAGACAAAATTACAAGTGAAGAGGTGAAGACTACAACTATGAAGATACCAATTGCTATCTCAGACGAGCAGAGACTTACATCAGCGAAAAACAGACATCATTCATCATCAAAACACTGTTTTAAAGCTAGAGAGAGAAGACAGATCAACAAAGAAGAACGAAATAAACGTATTGGATTATCAGAGGAAAAGATAAAAGAATTGGATGGATCTGGCAAAGCGTTTTTTTCAGATGATGTTGAGAGCAAATGGAGAACTTTTTTGTTTTAGATGGCAGAAGGGAAACAAAGAACCGCCTAAAGGATTTCGTTTCAAGCCTTATAATTTAAATAAAAGCATGTGGTTTTTATTTACAAACCAGTTGGAAGAATCACTACAAAACATGACAGATGAAGATAGACAAGAGCGAGCGATGAGAGGATTTTTATGTTGCAGATGGGGTGTAGGAAATAACATTGTACGACCTTGTTATGATCATCTACCTTTACATTGGGAGACTTCACAGGCTAGGACTTGCCCCGATGACGTCATTGCCCTAGGGACCTTGGGTAGTGTATATCAGTGAGTGAAAGATGTTATCGGAAATTACTATTCATTCAAACAGTGTAAGATGATGGAGCATATACCCATTTTAGAACGGCAGGTTCAAGATATGCAACAATTTATGCTTTTTTGGCCATACTATAAAGCAAGACTTCAACATCGAGAAGGAAGGCAGCCCGAATTTAAGACCAATTTTTCACCAATTGGACCTGAGAAACCTTCAACAGACGAGAAAGAATTTTATCAGTTCTTTATACACTTTAGTCCTGAGGAAACACCAAACAAAGATTATTTTTCAAGAACGGCATTGGGAAACCAATTGATGAAGACTTTATCATCATGGAAACTTGTACACCCAAACAAGGCAATGATGGATGTGACTATAACCAAAGGAACGGGTGAATTCATTTATGAGATCGTAAACATACAATTACATTCTCAATGCAAGGAAAAAGCAGCTCGTTATTATACCATGAATCAAGCCTTAATGGACATGGTAGCAACCAAGCTCATTTTAGCATGGGATACATACTCTATGAACTTTGTAGTACATATTACACTTCACAATTATTGTCATTAGCTAGTTTTTAAGAGGTCAATAAAAATCACACAAAGTTTACAGTTGAATCATGTGTTTTATTTTTTACTGGGGGTTGTTTAATTGTGACCAGAGCTGTGCATATTTAGACTGCAACTCGGTGAGTTCCTGCATGAGCTGAGTTACAGACAATTTCTTGAGTTTTCTGGGTAACTGAGAGCGTTCACCTTCACGTTCCTTTCTCAGGGCTTCATAACTGGTTCGATCTTGCGTCAGTTTTTTCTCCTCATCCAAAATCATTTGGTCTAAAATGACACAATGCACTTGTTCACAGGCGGCATTGACCACGGATTGTGTTTCAGGTGATTCCATTTTTGGGAAGGGCCGTAATGATTTGAACCGTTTAGGAAAGGTGCCCTTTTTGAGATGGTGTCTGAATCCTTTGATGGCTTTTTCACGATACTTGATGCGTGCCTGGATGGCCTGCAGTTTTTGACGGTAACTTTTTAGGGTAGATTTCTTACTTTTCACGGTAGATTCCATATTTTTCTCAGTGGTTTCAGATTGATCCCCTGTGGGGGTGTTTTCTTCGATAGGTTCAGAGACAGAGTCTTCGAGTGTAGACATGTTACCTTGAAAAGAGGTGAGATAAAAATGAGTCCTTAACGTGAGAACGATGTCAATTTATAGCCTGACCTGTGTGACCTGAAAAGAATTCATTCTAAAAAGTTTATGTTGATGATTACTTATGGTTCATGGTTGAGTGATTACGGGCAAGTTTAGGCAAGCCCATTGACTTTGTTTCTATTTTTAGTGCATCCTAATTAGATTACAATAAGTGACATAAAAGAATAGTCAGAGTTACAATATCATTCATTTCACACACGTTATCGTGATGGTAGGAACGTATGACACACAGACTCCAGCGGAGCAGTGGAATAAAGATTTAGAAGACATGTGGACAAACTATGAGCAAACAGAAAGAGAAATGTACCCTGAGAACAAGGAAAATCTACATTGGATGGAATTAGCCTTGGAGGATCCTTTGTTTCAGGTCAGTTGTACCCAAGTATTCGGAACTAATCTGTATTTGTTTGACATAACCCAAAAACCTCCAACAAAAGAAGGAGTAAGAAATTTGGACTTTGAAGTCGTGTATCCTATATATCACGAGTTGAATGACATTATTGAATTAACAAAACCGACCGAGACAACTCAGATAAAAATCAGGACGTCCTCGAGAGAACATTGGGAGGTCGTCTATACGTGTGAATTCCGCGTCGATCAGTGGTCTTATAACAAAGTAGATGAGATCACGGAGAGGTAGCGGATCAGCTTACTATGAAACAAAACTTGAATGGAGGTTTACTTATACATGTGTCTTTCAAAGAGTAAGTCAACACAATAAACTTCTTAAGTGCAGAAAATTTCTGCAACTAACAAATGTGACGGGACAGTTAAAAATTTTAAGAAATTTCCATCTGTGTTTCATCTGGGTTTCATCTGGGTTTCATCCGCGATGAATCCGCGTTTCATCTGGATTTCATCGTTTTATCTGCGTTTCATCTGCGTTTCATCGTAAAAACAGAAAAAGTATAAATTTACAACTTTCGCGAGAATATCATCAATTCAGTTAACACTTCACGGTGTCAACATGTCTTTTAAGCAAGGACGCACATGTCCTGTTTGTTTCAAAGAAAATCTCTTTTATTTAAGGGATCATTTAAGACAAGTGCATAACCTTTCGAGTGCAGAGAGACAACTATGGTTAAAATCTGCCACTTATTCACCGACAGTCTCTATGAGGTTACCTAACATGCCTCCTTACCCCTTTTGGGGCATGCCTCAGTACCCAATGACTCCGCAGTTACCTACGGAAGTACCTCAAAGCATGAAATCAAAACAGTCTAAACCAGTCAAAGTCCAAACAAGTCAGGGTTTAGAGACAAAGCCTTACCCAGAGTTTAAGTTTCATCATACGTGTTCAATGCTTGTCGTAGGACCGACACAATGTGGGAAAACCTATTTTGTGCAGCAGTTACTAACCAAGAACTGTATCAGTACCCAAGTGAGAAACCTACCCAGATTTACTGGTTCTATAATCAATGGCAACCAAGGTATGATGCATTGAAACGAGCGCTAAAAAGAAAATCCAGTTCACCCAAGGGTTACCAGACCTAAGCGAAGATCTCCATGAAATCAATCCCGAGTATAACAATATATTGGTGTTTGATGATTTGATGTCTCAAGCCATAGATAGTCCCGTGTTATCACAGCTGTTTACCCAAGGAAGACACCGCAATGCGAGTGTGATATTGCTGTTGCAAAACATGTTTCCGAAAGGAAAATACAACACAGACATTAGCAGAAATGCTCAGTATTTGGTGCTGTTCCGTAGTCCTAGTGACAGAAAACAAATTGGAATTGTTGCTGAGCGAATATTTGCGAAGGATAGACCAAAATTTATGTCTGCGTACGTCCAAGAAACAGCGAAACCCTACGGTTATGTAGTGATAGACAACCAACCGAAAACCGCGAGTGAGAAACAAGTGGTCTCCGATGTCTTTGGACGGTG